AAAGGGGGCGGGATGAGGTTGGTCGGTAGGAGATGGAGGTGCGGCTTGAGGTGGGAGGAGGGGATAGGTGGGAGGAAGAACAGGTTAGGGAGGCAGGGACGAGCTGGACTGGTCTTGGGATGCGGTGGGGGGAGGGGAGATTTTAAAACTTGTGAAATCCACATTGATACCATTGGGCTGCAGGGTTCCCAAGCGGAATATGAGTTGCTGTTCCTGCAACCTTCGGGTGGCATCGTTGTGGCACTGCAGGAGGCCCAGGATGGACATGTCGTCTGAGGAATGGGAGGGGGAGTTGAAATGGTTCGCGACTGGGAGGTGCAGTTGTTTGTTGCGAACCGAGCGTAGGTGTTCTGCAAAGCGGTCCCCGAGTCTCCGCATTCTCTATGTTGAGCTGTCAAGCGCCTTCAGAATCTTCTAATTTTCATTGAGATCACCTTGCATTCTGCTAAAGCCTAGAGAATTTAACCAGGTTTGCTCAGCCTTTCATTATAGGTCAGCCCTCTTTTATTCATACCGAAAGCTAAAGACCACAGAGTTGAAAGTTTACACCCATTTTATTAGCAAACATATTTCACAGCTTCCGAACACAGAAAATCTACTGAAATCAAATAGGACAGCCCTGTTCTTTGGCAACAAGCACAAAAAACCAAACATCACTGTTGTTTCTTAAAAAAAAAGCCGATTAGCATCGGACAGCATTTTTCTGGAGTACAGACCGGTAAATGTCTACTGAAAATAATTGCAACAAACAGACTGCAGTTTGGTTTAATACAGACCTTCTGTTTATTTAGTGTGCATCAATTGCACATCTTTATATCACAAATTCCACTAATTTTAATCTGTAGCCAGTGTTTTTTTTCAACAATATCTCTGCTCCCATTCTGGCTCAAGTCACAACTATGCATGTGCAACTCTCAACACTGGCTGGAAACAGGTACTTCAACAGCAGGGACACCATTGTCAAACTAGTCTCTGTCCTCTCGTAGCCCACAGGAGGTAATTTCCATTGCGGGGGCTACACAGTAATTTAGAGTCCCAGCAAATACTTCTCTTTCTAATCCAGAAGCTCAGAGGTCATTTGCAATTTCTCTATTGTATCCTGGCTAAGATTAGCTAACTCAACACAGATCAGGAGCCAAATCTTTTTTGGATTGCATGGTTCAGGTGCTCACTGAGTCAACAGGCGATAATATTTTGTTTGAAGATGATAAGCTATTTTAGTTATGTACAAAAGTCATCTCCAACAAGAAAAGTTGCTGTGTAGCTTAGCAATACAATTTAAAGAGTGATTGCTGCAGGATACAATAAATAAGCCCTTAAATAAAAAAGAACACCCGAGTTAAACCTTCAATAAGTGACTGCATTGCATTCCTTAATATGTTTTCTTATGGTCTGTTGCATTTTTTTTAAACTTTGAAAGTATGTTAGAAAATGAGATGAAGCGTTCAAAACTTGGCATTTGCCACCAGTTTTTGGCTGCCAAATCTACCACTTTTAGAAGTCTAAATTAAGTCAATAAAGTTTGAGTCCTTTCAAATGAAGCAATGAATCTATAGTATGCAGTTCTTAACCACGTTTGACATTGGTCTATGTATGAACTTCTACAACTTGTTTTAAGTAGCAAATTCCTTATAAAGCTTATCCAATGTAATAATATTTACCACTAAAGTCTACAGCTGAATTCTCAATTTGTTTTTTTAAAAATTTAGTCTGCATTTTGAAGTTGAGCAGATGTATTCTTGGCAAGTTAACTCACTGCCAACTATTGCTTGTATTGTATGAAACAAACATAATTAATTTTGATTCATATTTTTCAACTCATTATCGAACGCTCAACATCATGCCTCATGTACCTTTGATTCTTATTTAGAACAAATTCCTCAGCCTTGAAACAATAGGTATGCCAATCTAACACTCCAATGTATATTACCAGACAAGCAAATTTTGTGGATCAATAAACAACATGATGCGACAAATGTTTTCCAACATCACACACAACTCTGTTGTACCTATTTTCTATAGATCAGCTTCCTGTCTAGATAAATTACAGCAGATCCAGAACAAGTTTTTTCCTAAATTTATAAAAGTGAAATTATCTAGATATTCAACTTTAAATTAAAGTCCAAGCATTAAAATTATTTCATGGTATTATTATCAGATACAGTCTAAACACATTTGTTTAGTTTTCTTTTGGCTATGTCTTCAATTGAAACACTGGCCTATTAAAGATTTTCTTTTATTTCAATTGTACAATTCAAATGTTCAACTTTCAAACAAAAACTAACAAAGCCTGGTGGAGGTCTTTTGTTCTTCATTTATGTGCACATTGTTATCCTCTGTATTCATTTCATCTTCAACTCCTTTGTGTTTCAGGGTAAATTGTTCGAAATGTCAGGTTTATTCGTGGATTTCTGTCATGGTATTCTTTTGGCACTCGATGCTGTAAACAATATTAATAAGGTATATTTAAATATCTACAGTACTGACTTCAAAATCCATGAATTTATGTATATTAATTTCTAATAACACCCTCATCTCCTCTCACTCTTACATGGTTTCTACATAATGAATTGCTAAGTCCCACCTCATACTTCTCTACAAGATATCCTTATTCATTTCCACCCTCAGCCTTTGCACTTTAGCAACTCCTTATCCTCGACTTCGATATCCATCTCAATTCACCTTGCATGCTCTTCAATGATCTCACTTTCATACTGCTGAGAAAAGGCACATTTTGTCGAAGCTTAAATTTTGCACTCATCACCCAAGAACTTTCGGAATGAACAACAGGCACAACTATTCGCTGGTTCATTTCTCAGGGCAATGCCTTTACCAATCAAAGTTAACCTGCCCAGGTTAAAATTTATACAAAGCCTGGCAGTTATTGGCCAGTAGTTCATCATTAACTAGTGTATTCTCTATGGCAATGCCTCTAGTAATCAGAGCTAATTTGGCAACTGAACAGTGTATTCTTCTCAGACCTAAATGTTGGCTTTCTCTTTCATTAATATTCTCGTGAATTGTCCAGATAAGTGGAAGACGAATAGTTTCACAAAACACATCTTTTTTCAACAATATTCAAGGTCTGTATTACCAAATGATAATGTTACTTTCTGCCCCTTCTCCCTCTATATAAAATCCCTTAACCATATTCATGCCCACACCCTTGATCTTAATAACTCATATGGTCATTCTATTCCCAACATTTACAAGACCAACCAGTTATCTTTCATGTTTGTGTCCACCACAATTCACCTTTCTATAACCCCACTTCCCTCTGCATCTTTGTAAAATGTATTCTTCAGAAAGCAGGGGTCACTGGCAAGGCCTGTATTTGTTGTCCATTCTGAATTGTCCTTTAACTCAATGGCTTGTTAGGACCAGTTCAGAGGCAGAATCAAATTGAATTAGCTTCATTGTCACATGTACTCAAGTGGAAATATAAAAAGTTTATAAGTCGCCACTTACAGAGTCATCATAGGTACAAAGATACCTAGGTACAATCCTTAGGTACAGAATACAGAAATGAAGAAAAAAAGAGTTACAATACAGCTATACACAGTATAACCATAGGTCAGGAAAACAAGAAGCAAAGTTAAAAAGACAAACATCACAGACTCTCCACCGTGGAAAAAAATAATCTCTCTCATTCCCACCCCTCCCCCAACAAATTATTTACAATTATACTTTGACACTCCCTATACGTTGCTATCCCATTCTAAAAAACTCTGTCAATCTGCTCAATCACTGTCTCATGTTCACTTTTAATCTCATTCCTCTCAAAAAGTTGTTATCCTGTAAATCCCATCTATCCTTCCTCATCACCTCTCCCAAACCTTCTAATGCCTACGTTGTCAGCTGGTCTGTCTAACATTCTGGATCAGATAGAATTTCCTCCAGTTGAACACTAGCAAGATCAAAAACAAGGTCTTTGGCCCTTTAAACACTGCAACCTTGTTACTGATTCTGGCCAATAGCGGATACTATCTCAGGTGGAAGACAACTGTTTGCGTTCTCACTGTCCTATTTGGCTTCAGACTGAGTTTCTAATCTCATATCCATCACAGAGGATGCCTGCCTGTACTCCCACATCAATTATTTGCTGCTGTAACTATACCTTTGTCAAGTCCAGCCTCTACTTTTCCAATACTCTTTTGACCGGTTTTCATGAACTTCGTTGATCAAAAACTTTGCTGCCCTAATCCAAGCTCTCAGTACATCATGCTTATCCACTGCTCCCTGACCTAAATTGGTTTCTGTCGCCCAAAGTCTCCAATTTAAAATTTTCATCCCTGTGTTCAAATTCCTTCAGAGCTACCTCCAACCCCATTTCTTTTTATTCTTTCATGAGATGTTGACGTTGTATTAATGCCCATTCCTAACTGTCCTTGAGAAGATATCAATGAACTGCTTCCTTAAACTGTAATAGTCCGTGTGGAATGGAAACTCCTGCACTGCGGTTGTGAAGGAAGTTAGAGGAAGTTGATTGGGTAGGAAAGGTGATATATTTCTAAGTCAAAATAATAGGTAAATTGGAAAATAAGTTGCATTGGATGGTTTCCCCAGGTGCCCTAATGAATTTCTCCTTCCAGTAAAGGTCACAGATTTGGAAAGTATTATTTAAAATGCCTTAGTGATTTGCTGCAAAACATCTTACATTTGATTCACACTGCAGTTATGTCGCAGGAGTGACAAAGGATATGAAAGTTGAAGGCAGTCAATGAAACGCTGAATAAGCAGAATGCTTGTCAGGGATAATTTTGAGCTTAAGTGGTGTTGGAGCCGCACGCATCCAGGAAATATTCCAAACTCTGACCGGCTTTTGTCTCCATATTAGCTGGTCCAACTAGGTTTCTGAGTCAATGGTGACCCCTAGGATATTGCTGGTGAAATAACTCCACAGAGGCCAGTATCCCGTCACCAGTGTCATCCTTTATTTACATGTTGTTATCCTCTTCAGAGCCAGCTCTCAGACTGCAAGAATCTCTGACACTCCTGTTTTTAATCTGTCAGCCAGGGCTCCCTGATTGGACCAGATTAACAGCCCCAGTCAGAGAACCCCATATTCTACATGAAAACCAAAAGAACTGTAGTTGCTGTAAATCAGGAGCAAAAATAAAGTTGCTGGAAAAGCTCAGCAGGTCTGGCAGCATCTGTGAAGGAGAAA